TATTTTACAGAAAGGAGGTTTCAAGGATCTTACAAAATTAGTCAGGTCTTATACCTGCCCTGTTGAAGAATGTGGAAARGCATTTGTACATCAGGTTTGTAGGATTCCATTCAAAACATTTGCTGACCTAAATTATTTAACCAGTTTATGCAGCAAGAGACTTTAGAGTGCATACAAACACTAAAATCTTAATTTTAGTAATTAAATAGTGCTAAATTGTGTAGATTCCTGTGTTTTCTATTGTCTAATCTTCACTGTATTGCACTATTTACACCTAAGATCAAGTTCCTTTAAGTGACCCCTGGTCGGGAAGTCTACATCTACTATTGTTCGATCAGTACTTTTTCAAGCTTTCAGTGTTTGCACTCTACTATGCATCATTCATTAATATATTCATTTGTTCTTCTTTGTCTTGTTCTCATCCTGGTTCTTCTTTTGTTTCTAATTATCTATTGTGTGATGTTTGTGCGAAACCTTAATCTTTATCTTTTTTATTACAGAGATCTATACATAGACATATCCAAAGTATACATCCAGAAGTAAGTGGCTATAATATATAACTTTTTTGTATTTATATTTGTATTTCCTTGAGTTCTCAATAATTTTTATTTTGTCCTTGCTCTATTTAGTTGAATTYAAAGGAAGAAGAGAAGAAAAAGAAAAAGTTGAAGAAGAAGAAGCACAAAAGGTCAAAACAAAGCAAAGAGCTTACAAAGAAAGAAACACTTAAATTACTTAATAATATCCGAGGTGGACCCTTGATTGCTAATACTTCAAGTAAAAACGATAATAGTAAAAATGCAGAAAGAGGAAATGATGGCAATAAGGGAAGTAAGGAACATGGCAAGAGCTGTGATGTTGATGGTCTCAACAAGAGCATTTCCACTGCTTCTGCTAATACTTCAAATTCATTTACTACTGCCAAACATGATAATCTAAGTAGCAGCACACATCAGAGTCATACTGCAGATAAGGGCATAGAGAGAAGTATGCAGCTCGAGGCCTGTGATGATGATKCTGAAAGTACTAATGATGACATTATAAATGTACATAGTGAAGATCAACATGTCAGTGACAATAGTATGCAAAATGATTCCAGTAGCGATGATGATGATGATGATGGCAGTGAAAATGCACATGAAACATATGATGATGATGATGACAATGATGAAAGTATGAGTCATGATTCCAGTGATGATAATGATAACAATGTATATAAAGAAATAACCGATGGAAGTATTGGTCATAATGTGTGCACTGATGATAGCCAAACTATACGACATGAWGCTAGTAGCAATATTGATAACCAAAATATTCATGATGAACAAAGCAGCGATGATGACAATAATGAGCCTAATATGTCTGATGACAGTGATAGGAGTATAAACCATAATACCATAGTCAAAGATGTTTATGGCAAAACTAATCACAATTCCTACACTAGTGACAATGACAAGTCTGTACATGCCAGTGACAATGATAACAGCAGGAATATCCAACAAAACACCTTGAATAATAAAGATATGCAGCATATCTRCGATGATGATAAAAACGAGAATAAAACATCATCTCAGGACGATTCTAAACAGATCCTTGTAGACGGAGAAAGGGACAACAGCAATGACAAAATTGAGACCCATAACGAGGAGGGTGCACAAGAAACTAATATTTTTCAAAATAACAACAGTTTACAACCCAGTAATGAAGACAAGTTCAGTAGAGATTTAAATAATGCTGCTTATCAAGAAGAACAGCTTGAAACAGGCAAAAATATTGAAATAATTACAAATGACAAAGGTGTTATGATAATGGTTATTGAAGAAGATGACTAGCCTATATACTAGCAGGTTATTTCTTATGCTTTTTAACATAGTAGAAGAAAATGTAATTTATAAAATGTAGAATTTGTTTTTGACACAAACTCTGTTCATCCTACACCTGATTTAGTCTAATTGTATTTGATTTATACTCTTGTTAAAAATGCTGTTTTCATTTACCTTTGATGCCTTTAACTCATTTATTAGGCCCATGTGCATCCATCTTTGATTTTGAATCAATCAGAAACCACCTTTCAACAAGAGACCATTGTAAAACAAAAGTTGGGTGCACATGGGTCCTTAGATTAATCTTCACTTCAATTGTTTGAAAACATTTGACTTAACCAGGTAAAGATTGAGACAAAATTCACTTCGATGACATACATTAATGTATACAGTATAGTTATGTAGGTCATCATAGTGAATTTCGTCTCAATCTTTACTTTGTATTTACAAATGGGTTTTTTTTAGTTCACAGCCTTAAATCACATGTCCCATATTATTAACACTAATAATAAGTTCCAGTTCTAGGTTTCATGGCATAATTGTACAGCTTCCTTCCTTCTGCATCTACAAAGGTGATTGTCAATGAATTAGTTGTTGCTTGAACAGTAGAAAAACCACCATAGCTAAATGCATTGGCCCARAAGAACTTGAGGCTTCCAGCAGGAACAGAGTGTTCATGATCTCTGTTCTTCTCTACATAAGCGCCAGCTCCAGTAACAAAATACTGAACAGTYGAATTTGGCTCCTTTAAGTGCTGTTGAAGGAGATGAATTTATAAAATAATAATGAGGACCTTTCCCAATCTAAACTGTTTATGCACAAATACAGCTATTTCAGAAAATGTTGAATGCTGAAGATTGGGTATCCTAAGACAGAAKTGCACTGTTAGCCATTCTATCGCCATTGAAAAGGAGTTTTGTGGTATCAGTGTGACTGTACCAGCTCCATTAAGTCAAGAACTTTAAATRGTAACCTATTAAGGTTAGAATTGTAATTTTGTAATGCAGATGAACGTGGAGTTTAATGCAKTGCAATCTTGGAATGAACTAAGCAGTATTCAGTATTCAATGTTTTCTGGCACAGCTGTATACATTTAATACCTGCAAATTGTGGTCRTGTCCACAAAGATATGCTGTTRCATGGTATCTTTCCAATAGAGGTTTAAGTCTGTCTACAAGACATTCTGTTGGGCCRTGCTCTGCTATTGACCACACTGGGAAATGTCCACCAACAAGCAAATARTCTGATTTTGATGCGTTTAGAGTTTTCTCCAACCAAACCCACTGYGTTTCCGACTCCTCCACAGATCTTGGTCCTACACAAGATACCCTCACAATTTTTAAATTGTTAATTTTATATGAGTCACAAAGGTGTTTGTACTGGAAAACCTTTAATCGCAGGAATACATAAATTATAATGTTATTTCTTAAGAGATATAAAGATTTTCAGACCTATTTAATGTTTGTTCTTCTCAGTAAAAAGAGGACAATTACTTCAGTATTAAGGATTAAATAATATTAACTTTTATTGTATGTAACTCATCCTTTGATCACAATATGAAAAAAAGGAATTCTGTACAAATGTTGAAGGTGCCATTTGGCTACCATGATAGGGGATGGGGTGGGCACATTTTAGCAGAAAACTATAAGGGACTTGAAACGTGTAGTGTCCRTACATTCCTTTTAGTACCAAGCGTCAGAATATGCAAAGCTTGTTAAAAATTCGAAAAAGAACTTTATGACTATATTTGGAAAATTTGGCCGTTGGATAAGAGATTTAAGGCCTGTTCTGGTTGGCTGGGGCAAATTTAATTGTTCCAAATAAGGAAATGAGATGCAAATTAGATATGAATATTCCAATGGATAGCATTGCGCTACACGTTTCAAGTCTCTTATAGGTTTCTGATATTAGTAAAATCTTACCCTCTGTGGCRTGTCCCTTTATGTTATCATGTTCAGTGTTACCACACAGTAAAACAGTGTCAATCATTACTAGCTCCAGTACCTTGTCACTGCCTGTTCATGATGTAAATGAAATGTTTTCAGTTCTTAAAACGCTCTCTCTTTAGTTGACATAAGGACCAAAAGTGACAAGTAGGGGTGGGGTGGGGATTTTTAATATCTTTTTTTCTCTCATATTATGCATGTTTTTTTTTTCCTTCTAGATATTTTGCATAGATTTTCTCCCCCAGCCCTAAATGCTTCACTTTTCTATTGGGGATTTCCATATGAACTACACTAAGAATAATAAATATAATCTATGATTTTAATGGTCTCCTTCGCAGCCTCACCTTTTGTTGGGCTTCCTGTAGCCCAACAAAAGGGGAGGCTGCGTAGGAGACTGATATTAAGTAATCTTTTCATACTGGTTATTTTGAAAGTCTTTGAATAGTAGAAATCTGGGAATGTCCATCTTGTTGACTTCTTGGTGTATGCAATCTCAGCTGAGGCATTCCCATAATGGTCGTGGTTTCCAGCACACATGTACCAAGGGATTTGCAATGATGGAGCTACGAAAACATTTTCAAATGTCTCTTTGAACCGATCGTCATTTTCATTCTTTACACCATGAAAATAAAAATTATCCCCTGTGAAAAAATGGAAGTGAAATAAGAAATAAATGGAAC